GATCTGTCAATCTCTGTATAGCGCTGTGCAAGGATTCAGTCAGCAGGTTTCAGTCACTCACCATTCATTGTGACCTTGTCAGCCAGTGCATAACCCGTCACACGAACCGCGTGACCACGCCGACCGCTCATTTGACCTTGCAACCACCACCCTCGCCTGACCGATGTGCGCCGCTCTCAAAGCTGTAAAAGTACAGAACGCTAACCAACCCACTGGGTCAGGTAACGACACCAAATTGAATGGCAGAAAGGCGAAACCGAAGAGACTCCCATCGAAAGGTATTTGAGGGTTAGGAGGATGTCATCGGGTAGTAAAAATCGGTCTGGCTTACTCTCACTGTTTGGAATGGTATCATACGAAATGTGCAAATGTGTCCCAACAACAGTTACGGGAGTGAAATAGCTCCCAAGATGCATTTTGGTTCTGTACTGCGTGTTCCACCATCCCCCTCGTTAAGTGCTTGCTTATCCTAGCTCAGAAATGCGACCGGTTAACCGCAGAAGCCGAGCAGAGGATAAACGATAAGATTACTTCAATGAAAGCGAGTATGCACCATGGAAGCGTAGCGGTTTATAAGTAACGGAATGCTGCACAATCCGCTTCGCCTGCACCGCACTCAGCCACGTCCCCATCCCCAATGTCTTCTCCAACTTCGGTAGAATGCCGGAAGAAAACAGACCGTAATTACGAGAGTCAAACAGTACTCACGGCAACGAAAATCAGGCACCATTCAAAACGTCTGGTTAAGCAGATTCCACTAGACCTGACATCTAGTATTAACAAGGATGGAGCAGCCAAACACCAACCCTTGGTACCTGTAGCTCAAATATCTTGTCGAGACTAAGCCTCCCAGAACACCCGTTGCATATGCAGAGATTGCTGCAAATATCCACCGAGAGGCCGCCGTTGCGTCCTCTTCCATTGGAAACACCGTTAACGCAAATAGAGAGAAAAAGAACAAACAATCACTTGTCAACAAGTCAAGACAAATGAGTACCGTAACTTGTAGATCGATTAAAAAGGGATCCAATAACAGTGCCCGGACTGTTGTGTGCTCAGATGGCCGTGAATCTACCGCCAACACATTGCGGGATAAATTATCAGACGACCAAGACCAATGGAACTCATTGTGTATGCAGATGAGTATCAAAGCCAGCCCATAAACTTGTTACGAATTACTCGTCATCCGAACTCGCCACACTATGGTGAACCCAGACTTATTCGAGTAACTCTAGAATCCTCCACCGACGTAGAAAATGTTTTGCTCTCCGCAAGCGCGCTAAAACACGAATCCTGTGTGATACGTAACTATCCTGATGTCCCTTGGAGCGCGCGACAACCAAAACGAAACACCGAAGAGGGGCACAGCAATCAAGACCGCCTAAACACAATCTTCATACATGGCGTACCAGAACATTCTTCTAACGTTGTTCAAGAGACCGCAAAGCACGATTTAGAACAGTGGCGGTCCATTCGTGGAACACTTTCTTTGGATAAAATCGTGGCACTATCGCTCACCAGGATACCTCTCTCATCGAATTATAGAGGATGTGGCCCTAGAATCCTAAAACTTGTGGTTCAGTCAGAGCAACAAGCAAAGGATGTTTTGGATCGATGGCGGAGAAATCGGAAACATCTTCTTTCCGAAATTCGGTTAAAGGTCGCAAACACTTTGCACAGCTCAACCATTAAAGCAACTGAAGCAGCAAGCATACCGACGAATGTACAAAAGCGTAACTTGACTGCTGCTTTAATTGACTCTGACGTAGGTCTAAACGAAGGCTGGGACGCACCTTGGCCGAATGAAGTTGCAAACGAGGTATCATTGACCCAACAAAAAAACGAATAACTGCCGACCTCCCATCGGTCGGCATTCTTCCACACTTGACAGCTTCACCTCTCTGCGGGCTCCTAGAGACCGAGAAACTGGCCTGCTTGTATACAAATGCTCAGGGACTTTCTAACAAACTGGCTGAACTGAAAGATCGCCAAGCTTCCGGCTCGTATGATGTCATTGCTATCACCGAGACATGGTTGCACACGGGAATGACGGACGCTGAAGTTTCGCTACCGGGCATGTCGTTGATCCGGAACGACTGGCTTACAAAAGGAGGAGGGGTAATCCTGTACTACCGAAACGACTTGCAATGCGAAGCCGTGGAGGATTCAGACTCGCAGTTCCCCGACTCTCTTTGGTGCCGGTTGCAGTTAAAAGGCAGGGACGCTTGCCTTATTGTCTTGGTGTACCGCGCCCCTAACTCAACACTTGAAACCGACTACCACCTAATGGCTGCTTTAAGGTGCAGTTTACAACAAAAGTACACTCTCATTCTTATCATGGGTGATTTCAACGTACATTGTTTAGAAGCTCCTGCCACGATTGGAGAACCATTCAAAACCGATTTACAAGATCTAGTAACTACTGTTCCTCTTTACAACCACATCACTTTGTCCACTCGGTTCAGAACTGGTAACAGGCCATCTGTGCTGGATCTTGTGCTTACCAATGAGGAGCATATGATTGATGCGTTGGTTTTAGACTGCCCGTTGGGTCGCAGTGATCTCGCAGTCATCAGTTTCAACTTCGTCTGCTGTGCAGAATATCTCAGTGAGAACGATGATACTGCGCGAATCATCACAAAGTACGACCGACATGCCCAGCTAGTCAGCGCCACAAAATGGTCTTTCCTCGAAGAAGAACCCCCGGAAGTCGCCTGGCTCGAGTTCGTCAACAAACTCAGTCGGCTGATTGCACAGGCTTCAGAGATAAAAGCCTGCAATAAGTGCAAATCCGTTTCTTTCGTTAGGAGCAGAACTCGAAAATGGATGACAGTACGCAACGCAGCATAGCGAGTGTACAGAGAAGCTCCAGCACCAGAAACATGGGACAACTACGTAGCCCAACGTAACCACTGCACTCAACTGTTAGGAGAAGACAAAGCCGCCTATCAGCAGAACATCGCAAAAACCTTCAGTGCTAACCACAAACTGCTGTACAAGCACGTTAATAGCCTACGAAAGGTGAGGCAAGGATTTCCTCCACTCAAGACGGCTGATGGCCCAACAAGAACGTCTATGGAAGCTGCAAACGCGCTGCAGATGCAATACGCCCCCACGTTCCAAAGGCTCTTGCCACCAAGCGATCTACCAAGCTTTGTATTCTGCTCACCAGGACTAACCCACATCAAATTTACCGCAGAGGCTGTATTGCAAAAGCTGACGTCTCTACGCAAACACAGCTTGCCGGGTGTCGACACCATTCGTCCAGAGGCATTGGGAGCAGCAGCAAACCAACTGGCAGGACCTTTAGCTCAGTTCTTCCAGCACTGCTTAGACCAGAACCAACTTCCCGCCATGTGGAAGCTTGGAATAATAAGCCCGATTCACAAAGGTGGAAGCAGAACTGACCCCTCCAACTACGGCCCAATATCCCTTCTTCCTATACTCTCCAAGGTCATGGAATCCGTAGTTGCTGATGCACTGGTGTGCTATCTGGAAAACTGCAAGATCATCACGCCTGAGCAGCACGGTTTCCGTCGACAGCGGTTATGTACAACTAATTTACTAATTGCACGCAGTAGTTGGACCGAGTCAGCTGACGCTGGAGAAGGTGTTGATGTGATCTACCTGGATTTTTCCAAGGCTTTGATCTTCCAGACCATCGGATACTACTATCCAAGCTGCAGCATTACGGGATCGGCGACCCTCTTTTGAGCTGGATGGCCAACTTTCTACTTCAACAGCAATTAGTGGTCAGAGTTCGGAGCTCTTTATCGGACCCCATATAAGTTGAGTGTGGTGTGCCGCAAGGCTCAGTTCTAGGTCCACGTTTGTTTTTGGTGTTTATTAATGATCTTGCACAGGGAATCGCTTCAAACTTCCTAATGTTTGCCGACGATATCAAGATCTGGCGCAGGATCCAGGCGAACGCCGACCAACATGTGCTTCAGAGTGATTTAGATAGGTGTATCAATGGTCGACCCAAAACTTATTGCATTTCAACGTCAGTAACTGCAAGGTGCTTTCCATCCGACATCAGGGCAGCTACTCATACCGACTCGGAACGGATGTACTGCAACAATCAACTCTCGAACGTGACTTGGGTGTCCTGGTTCAAGATGACTTGGGTTGCTCCAGGCAATCCGGAAAGGCCTCGAAGACCGGGAACCAACACGTTGGGCTGTTGAGGCGGGCGTTTGGACAAATAAACAGCTCCATATTTCGACAAATGCTCAGTGCGTATGTTCGCCCCACATGTCGAATACGCAATTCAAGCCTGGCATCCATGGCTGAAACACGACCTTAATGCACTGGAGCATCCACAACGCCGGGCATCTAAGAACGTAATTGGAATGAGCAATCTTTCCTATCAGGAGAGGCTGCAACGATTGGGGGTATTCAGTAGAAGCTATCGCAGACTACAAGGTGACCTGATTATGCATACTTGATTCTGCGAGACCCACATGATGTGTGCCGCCCTTTACTGCAACTCAGCAGCAATACAAACCTGAGGGGCCACTCATTAAAACTCGCAGAACAATACAGTGGTCTGGAGTGCCGCAGAAATTTCTTTTCCATCCGTGTCTGTCACCCGTGAATGCTCTCCCAGAATCGGTCGTCTCTGCACCGACACTAACAATATTTAAAAAACGGTTGGACGATGCACTCATCCACTTACACTTTGTTACTTAACACTATGTCTCCATCCTACACTTGGAGTTTACCATGGAATTATTTGTTGTTAACTGTGGGTGCTCTGAACCTAAGAGGATCGCAGGACTACAGAGGCTCAAATGGTAAGTCCTTATTTTCATATTTGTCATCATTATCATCATTATTTTTATGTTGATATCCCCACCAACTATCTAACGGGACTTGTAAAGGAAGACTTCTTAACCCGTATAAATTCATTGTTCATTTTTCAGGACATGCGATACCATGGGATTGCTTTGAGTCAACACATTGAACAGTTTACGAATGGATGAAACTCAAAAACTTACTTTGTATGATCATCCAGTCCAGAAAGAAAATAGTAAAATATGTTAAAGTTGGGTTCATTATCGCGACGGTCGGATACACGAATGCGGTCGAACAATAGAAGACGTGTTGTTAAGCCAGATAGAACCAGTTTAGGGTTGATGGACGATGGGCATGCACTGTCATCCTTCCATGAAGCAACGTTGGTCCACTCCAGTGAGAACAGGCGTATTGCGCGACTCGCATTCGCGTTCGACAGAATTCGAGAGCAAGTGAAGGCGTCCAGTATCATAAACATGGCACGAATCCGCTCAACTGAAATACACACAGGAGAACGAGGTAACAGTGAATTTCGGTTGGTTCCCCTGCTCACCAGAATGATATCAGTTTGTTCAGTGACAGGTCCACAGTTTTACAGCGGCTAATAAATGCCGACCAGCACCGCAGATGTTCACCTTATGATAACGGTAAAAGTCCGTTTTTCTACAGCGAGAAGTAAATTTTGTGGGCACTGTTTTGAGGTGATCTAGAAGCAGATGCTACCGCTGTCAACACCCCACAGAATCCGTTTCGATGAATGGTAAAACTCACTGAACCAACTGGCTAGACATTGCAGGTATGGGAGTTAAACCAGTAAGCACGGGCAAGTCAACGGTCCCCTTACCAATTATTCAACATGATATCAGGAACAGGAACTGGCAGTGTCATACTGAATTCAATTCAACTGGTTATCTTGTTGAATTTTCCACTGTGTTATGCAGCCAAGACAATCTTGCATTTGTACTTCATCTTCTCACTGGTACCCCATGGGACATGACGTTAAAACATTATCTGGTCACTTAGCCAGAACTCACACATGATTAAAGAAATCTGCTCCACCCGGTGCCCAGGAAAGCAGATTTAACACGAATTATCAGGTGTGTGTATTTAGTTTAGCAGCGATTTAACATAATTAACTCTGACCCTGTTTTTCTGCATTCGTTACTAGAGCCCATTCTCCGGTCTCGTTGTGGGTGTGTATTATGGCCGAAAAGTGCATGTGATGACGGATGAAGTTCGGAAATATCTGGCAGACCATGTTGGTGGGACCATTACCAATTAGGCCTAATCAGTGTTGACCAGTAGTTCAAGAAAGTCAACACAATCGCAAGGGGCTGGGTCATCGGCAAATGATCGTCGCTTAGTAACTATGTTAATCTATAACCACCTACGGAGCGGGTACAGACGGTACTGGCGGTATAGTAAAGGGGGCTGGACAGTATCCGCGCAGTTTTAAAGAAATAAGGAGCTTCCACCGAACGCCAATAATAAAAGCATCACAACCTAATGTATGTCTTCGTTAAGGTTCAGCGACTGTGTCCGTGTGCGACCATAGCTTGCGCCCACAAGCACGCCCCGCATTTATCGAATCGATAACCATTCATCACCCTCGAACAGATCACTCCGGGCCTGCAAGGAGAGGACAAAACTGGACGCCCAACCAGGAAGGTCCTGTCAGTGAGAAATCGAAAACAGTCAATCTATTCACTTGTATTCTGTATATTTTGTAGTTTGACTTAGACACTGTAGTGTGGTTCTGTAACCTATTTTCCTGGCGTCGTCCTGCTACCATACTATGGGATAGACGCACATGTTCTTATACTGTCTCCTTAAAATCTTCAGTATCCCCTAAATTCCCAAAATTGCCAAAATCCGATAATCCACTTGAACTTCGAAGTCGTTCGGGTAAGCCGGTTGATACACTAAGCAATGCACTTAATAAGTTCAAGTATATCCAAGAAGAGCTGAACTGAGTCAAAATAAAACTGGTATCACTTGGCGAAGACACTCAAAGCCTTCTAACCTCTGATTGTTCTGCTGCAGACGACGGCAAACCCAAACAAGGATAACCTAAAACCCGCCAGTGTCTTCATGGATGCTGTTGTGACAGAAGTGTCTAGTAGAATACGATCCTCTAAAAACACAGTGGTTTTCAATCTGCCCGATAAAATGCCGGTAGAAACACTATAAAAAAATCCTAAGTAAATTAAGTACTATGGTAGATACGTGGTACAAATACACTAATCTCCGTAAGTACGTCCAGTGCAAAAAGACTGTCCCCTACTCTTTCAATTTAACGATACAGTCACGGCCAAGGAGTTCCCCAAAAATGGTCTACAGATGGCAGAAAAAGCTACCTTCAGCACAATAAGGATATCGATTGACAACGCCCCTGCAAACTCTGGCCAAGTCAGCCACTACCGCCATCAAAAGGCCCTCGTGCAACTAGGTCTGGCATAGCTACTACCACGAAAGCTGCTATTTTGCTTGGGTTACTCAGGGGCACGGGGGTTCAGTCAGTATTAACTTTAAAAACAGTAGCCAAATGACGTCAAACAAGATGGTAGCTTCTCTTGTCATCAGTTCGGCAACTAGGGCGACAGAAGCGCTGGCTGAAACTGATACCCTCGATTCCGAAACGTTCAGCCGTGCGAAGTAGACCCTGTACGCTCTACGCTGTTCACACAACGCCTTGGTTTTTAATGTGCTTGACAAGTTACCATTAAAAACTATTCAGAAAGGGCTTCTCACTGCATGCAGTATGCAATCTTGTTGGTCCAGTTGCATCAGGCCACGTAAAAACGTAAGGCGTTACGCGCGTCCCACACATTTCCAGTTTCAAAATGAATTAATTGTTAAATAATTCATTTAAAAGCGCGATCTCGTTCTGCTTAATACAACTTTCAAACGTCTGAAAAGTATGGAGGACAGAACCCCGGCTACAATGAGAGATAACGTGAAAGTCGGAGGTGAACCAAAACACTAGACAGCCATCTGACGCCACGCATCCAGTTGACATTGCTCCACTAAGTAGCCACCACAACTGTGCGAATAATACTCCGCTTACTTCAGATGGGGCTGATGCGATAATAATAAAGGGCTTTACGAAATTCCCAATGGAGCACCTGGATGTGTGGACTGCTCTATTGAATTAGATGCTTAGACCGGTAGAACACATAATCATAGCACCTCTGAGTGAAGTTCAACGTCAGACGCAAAATTGGTTACTGGAAGACCTCCACCAGGCCGCAGTTGCATGGCTAACCATGATAAGCTGGCCAAACCCAAAACAACTACAATCCACAAAGTTACTGTGGTGGATTGTGCTTCCTCTTGGATAATCAGTTCTGGCAGTCATAAATGATTTCCTAATGCTGTTTCCTGCATGCGAACTGACAACAATGTGCGTCAGCGAATAATAACTACATTACCTGCTAACTCCCAGTTGCAAGCAAAACCGCTACCTCAACCCTCGGTCTGTCATGACCTGCCTGAAGTCTTCTCTGGCCACTGTCCAAGCTCATCGAGAATATCGATGGATCCGGTCAAATGGATTGACAGTAAAAGGACGGTTGACCTAGGTTTATCGCAAGGGTCATTGGGCGACTCTGGATCATCATTTTGTTTGGATAGACGTACATCCATTGGCCAGAAAGTTGTAGAAGACGTTCCGCCATCAATACACCTTACACATGGTGTACTTGGGTGCTACTATTTTCCGGTTCCATCAACGAATCACACGGATTATGATGATGGTGGTGTATGGACTGACACTATGACTCCACCGTCTTGCGTATCGAGCGCGCATAAGCGGATTTTACCCCTGGAAGGAAATGACAGCTGCCCACAGACTCCTATGAATGCTTTACGTAGGCAACAGCCTATCAGTGACATGATGCAGATAAGACAACGTAACTCTCCAGCTCCCATAAACTGTTACCACAACCATGGGCTCTTTTCCTCGAATTATTTGCTAGAGGGTGATAGCCACAACCCTTTCCGCTGTCGCCACCTCCAAATCATTTTCTACCGTTGGCAATACACGCTCTGTAGCAACAAGTTTGAGTCTGGGTTCAGACACACTGCTTTAAACCCCAGTGTTTATAACACACCCTAAAAAACCTTCCTCATATCTCACCTCTATCACAGTAGTATTGAGAAACATTCGTTCCCTTCACTCTAAGATCCACACACTACACTCATTTGCTTTAGTGAATAATCCTGATATCCTATTTAAAAGTGAATGTTGGTTCTATGATGACATGTCTGACAATCAGTTAACTAATTTCGGGTGTGACAAGTTTATGAGGAATCGGCCTAGTCTTCGAAGTGGTGGCTGTGTATTTTATCTGAAAAATTTGCCTGCAGTAGCAACCTTCGAAAACCCAGTGCTGAACCATGTAAAGGAATCACTATGGCTTACTCTAGCTGTTAATCAGCAACAGGTGCCTTATGAGATGTATATACAGCGCACCAAGATGCAGACAAGAAGACTTAAAGCTTTTTGACGCTTGCATTTGAATGCCCCGCTAGCCTACCATTTATACTTAAGATTATTGGAGGTGATTTCAAGCTGCCGTCAATTCCATGGTCCATGGGCACCGCGCTTTGAAATGCCAAAAATCTCCTACATCCAACTGAATGGCTGGCAGCAACACCTCTCCCAGGTTACCAGAGGTGAAAGTACTCTGGATCGCGATTTTTCCTTTGGGCATACCTGCAATCAGTGTTAACGTTCTTGGTGAATTTCCGGGGAGAGATTCTTGTTTGATCAAATGCCGCCTAAGAATATGCATGGCAGATGTACAAAACATAATTCATCGTCGTCTGTTCAGTTCCGTTAACTGGGACTCGTTCAAAGCCTGGTTCGTTCGATTAATCGGGATAACTTCTTTCTCTTCATTTCCTCAACAAGCGACGAACCAGGTATAAAGTATACTTGGCTTCTTCATCGATTCAGCAGTACCACTAAACTATTGCTTACCAAAGTAGACATAAATCGATCGCGAAAGAGTTAAAGACAGCACTAAAGCTGCACAACTGTTTAAGTCGCTCGTTGCTTCTGATGTGTAACAGGGAATCTACAATTGATGTTTGCCGAGAAGATCTACAGAGAGAAGGACGGAGTCGCAATGGGATCTCCGTTAGGACCATTGTTAGCAGACGTATTTATGAGTAAGTTAGAGAAAAAACTATCTAAACGGAGCTATCGACAAATTAGCATACTACGGACGGTATGTGGACGATGTATACTGTATCTGAGATAGTCATTTTTGCACGGAAGAATTAGTGAGGCAATTTAACTCAGCCCACGCAGACATGAAATTCACCCTTGAATCTGAGTGCAACAACTCAATGTCGTACTTAGATGTTCAGATTAGCCGAAGATCTGACGGGTCGGTCCAGCGCAGTGTCCATAGCAAGACAACGTGGAATGGGAAATATACTCACTTTGCCAGCTTCGTTCCGCTCAACCAGAGGCGGAAACTTGTTCG